TCAGCTTAAGATGGTTCAATTTACTATTTTTTTACTATTTTTTGATAATGGTATGTAAAGTTCAGTAGTTCTAAGTTCACCATCCATTTCAGAACCATCTTTGTTTTCTCAAAAAGAAAACAATTAAATGCTATATCAGAATACTTCCTAAAATAATAGTGTGTTGTACCTGAAAACATTTTGCTGTTTTCATATTGGCTTCACAGGCAAGTATACTGTCCTAGAATATCTTCTATCATGTACAGAGGGCAGGTATTATTAGGCATAATTTGTTTTGTTTGGTTTTGTGTGTGTGTGTGTGTGTATGTGTGTGTGTGTGTGTGTTGGTCCTAATGTTATTGCTGTCCTGGATGCCTGGATGCTGTCCCTGAGCTTTGTTGCTCAAGGCTACTACTCTACCACTAGAGCCACAGATCCACTTCCAGCTTTTATTTGTTGTTGTTATTAACTGGAGATAAGAGTCTCTTGACTTTTCTGCTGGGGCTGGCTTTGAACTATGATACTCAGATCTCAGCCTCCCAAGTAGCTAGGATTACAGGCGTGAACAACCAGTGCCCAGCTTATTGGTTCTAACTTAATGAAGAGAATACAAACTCTGAAGTCCCACAGCAAGATGACAAAAACTCAAACCTTGAGCTGGGTACATAGCTCAAGATAGCTCAAGTTGGTAGAATGTTTGTGCAAGAAGCTAAGACTTAAAACTCATTTTGCTGATAGTTAAATCTACCCATAAGAGCCCCCTGGGCATCAAGGTGTGACCAGCTTCAGTATCATGTTAAAAATCCACAACTTTCATCCAGTTACAAAAGCAAAACATCAAGGTCTTTCTGCTTCTTTCCTAACAGTTAATGGTCTCTACCAATGGCTCATGCCTGGAACCATGGCTACCCAGGAGGCTGAAATTTGAGGATTGCAATTCAAAGCCATACTGGGGCAGGAAAGTCCAGGAAGACTAATCTACTAAAGAGCTGAAGTGAAGCTGTGGCTCAAGTAGTAGAGTGCCAGCCTTGATTGAGGGAAAAAGCTCAGAGACAGCAACCAGACACTGAGTTCAAGTCCCAGGACCAGCTTAAAATAGATAGATAGATAGATAGATAGATAGATAGATAGATAGATAGATAGATAGATAGATAGATAGATAGATAGATAGATAGATAGATAGATAGAAAGAAGCTGTCAATCCTATCATTTAAATTTTAGCTCTTATTTTCAATAACAAACCATAAAGAAAAAAAAGGTCAATATTTCATCTTAGTGTGAGCAGTAGGTTAACTGATAGAAAATTGTCTCTTTCTAGCCAAGGTTCAGAAATGGCTTCTCAAGGACGGGAACTGGCCAGTCACTTCCAGAGTGAAGGCACTCCAGTGATGATTGGTGAGTTCTTTCGGTGACCTTGGGTTCTTTTGGCAGTGGAGTAGAGACTCAATAAAACTTACAGATATATAGTATTAATGTTATAGAAAATAAACCATTTTCAACATTTAAAATTTTTAACTTTTATAACATATTGATCTTTGGAATTTTTTTTCAGTTTCCAAAATGGAGAGGTTACAAAAATTTACTAATAATAAAGTCTGTAATAGCAGACATAAAAGTTGAAAAGAGAAATAAGGACTATGTTTAAACATTTAAAGACCCAAGGGCAATGAAAAAAGGAAGTGACAAGTCATTTGACACAGCATTATAAGTCATGGCTCTTTTACAATTTGGCTGGCTGTGTGATTCTGTAATTTTATAAAATGATTGGATTCACTGATCTAATGACTCATGATTGAATAAAGGATAACATTTGTTCTGTAATGAAATGGCAAGCTAAGACTACTATGTGGGGATGGAGATAGGCCAATGTCAGCAGCACATCACAAAGAACGTTTGCAAGTGGATGGGCCAGATGACTGGCAATGCTCAGAGCAGAGGCAGCAGCACCATCTACTGTAAGAGGTACAACAGCACTGATGACAACTGTTTGGAGGAGGTCGGACCTCTAAGACCCTTTCTAGATATACTTTAGGAAATTTGAAAGGAGATATGATTAAAGCTGGGATTGCATTTTTATGTCTTAAAGATTCATTCTTTTCACAGTATATTTGCCATCATGGTCTTTTACAGTATAGGGAGAGCAGTCAACATTATTGCTGTTTCAAGACAGTTAATAGGCCAAATGATTTTTTCAAATTTGAATTGAATAGTCAATTGGGACTCATTTATGCCTCTTGTATCTCCTGTTTCTTCTTAGGAGGAGGAGTGTTGGCTCACACTATACTAGGTGTTGCATGGAATGAGATTACAGGACAGATAAAATTTCTGATTCTAGACCCCCATTACACAGGTGCTGAAGATCTGCAAGTTATTTTAGAAAAGGTATGTAACCATTTAATACAAATTTAGATACAATGTAAAGAATCCAGAAGTGAAGGGTAGCACCCTAGCTATTAAACCAAGGGCAGATTACACTCTAAGAAGGTATTCTAAGGTGAAGGGTCTCAAATAGGGAGGACAAGAAAAACACTTAACCTGCAAAAGGCAAAATTTAGGTTAAATTTGTAAAAACAAAAAATCTTTTCAGTTATTAAACACAAAGTTCATGATATATTCCTTTGGAATACTCTTTATAACTTTGCATAGACAAACATATTGAAGTTTACAATGTCTTCCAATAGAATAGAATAAACTTTATTTTAAAAAATATATAGCAACTGAGCAGCTGGGCACCAGTGGCTCACACCGATGTTCCTAGCTACTCAGAAAACTGAGCTCTGAAGATGACAGTTCAAAGCCAGCTTGGGCAGGAAAAGTCCATAAGACTCTTATCTCCAATTAACCATAAAACGCTGGAAGTGGAGTTGTGGCTCCAGTGGTAGGAGTAGTAGCCTTGAGCAAAAGAGCTCAGGGACTGCACCCAGGCCTTGAGTGAAATCCCCAGGATTGGCAAGTGAATGACTGAATAAATGAATGAATGAAGCCAAAGAATGCTTGTCTAGAAGGTATAATGCCCTGCGTTCTGTATCAGAGGAAGGAAAGGAAGAGCAGAAGGGGTGAGGAGGAGGAAGGAGAGGATGGAAAAAGAGGGGAGGGAAAGAGAGAGACAGAGAGAGAGAGAGAACCTTGAAGCCACAACACAGCCTCAGAAGTACTATTGATGTGAAGAAACAATAAAGGCTAAACCAAAGTCAGGTGCTGGTGGCTTATGCCTATAATCCTAGCTACTCAGGAGGCTAAGATCTGAGGATTACGGTTCAGAGCCTGCCAGAGCAGGAAAGTGGATGAGACTCTTATCTCCAATTAACCAAAAAACCAGAAGTGGCACTGTGGCTCAAAATGCTAGAATGCCAGCCTTGAGCAAAAGAACTCAAGGACAGCATCTAGGCCCAGGGTTCAGGCCCCACAACTGACAAAAAAAGACTAAACAAGAGATAATGTAAGTCTTTTTTATACTTGTTCTAAGAAGACAGATTTAAGAGCTCAGATTTTTTTTAATATTTTTATAAAAATATAAGGGAGTTATAATGTATAGAAACAATTCAACAGTTATTGAAACTTTATGGTGCTTACCTGGAAAGGGCTGATAATTTTACTTTGATCTTTCAGTATGTATCTTATCTTTACAATCAAAAAGAAAAGGCCATCTACAGTGAGCCAGCCCTCCATGTGAGAAGAGAGCTAGAGCTAGTTCACAGTTGTCCTAACGCACTTTGGCTTTCAGCCCTGCCACAATGCCCAGCAGTTTGAGTCAGCTACAGTTAATCCACTTGTCACACCGTGGTAACAAGCCTCACTAGTGTTTCTCAAACCAACTCATTTGAGTATTATGTAGCCTTATATAGACCAGTCCTCTGCTTTTTCTTCTTTAAATAAATCAAATGTGATCAACTTCCATATTCATAACAAGTACCCTATGTTGAAAACAAAAACTTTACAACTTGGGAAGAGGGGAGGGAGGTGTTGGGGAGGTAGGGAGGAAAGGACTGGTAGGGGAAAAACAAAGGAGGGGCTAACAATGCTGGATAGGAAATGTACTCATACCTTACTCATGTGACTGTAAGCCCTCTGTACAGTATGGTTACAATAAAAGATATATATTTAATTAAAAATCAGAAATGTGATAAACATCCATATTCATAACAAGACTGTGCTAGAAAGTAATCTTCAGTCTTATATGCTAAAGATGAATAATGCAAAGGAGAACTGCTTGTAGCATGAGGAAAATGAAAACACACTAATGCATCGGGCAAGCTGAGCTTTCTCACTACATTTCCTCAAACCTAAATGCACTGAAGGTTACCTATTTGCACTCATGGGTATAACTAAGATAACACAGTCCATCAGCAAATCAGGGCATTACATGTTATCAGTCACCTGAGCTGTGAAACTTCCATCTTCAAAGGAATAACATATAGTATCTGAATTCAGTTTTTACAAAGACTCGTGTAGAAATAAAAGTTTTAAAATCTGGGAATTCTATGTCACTGATAGAGCTTCATTTTAGAATTTCTACCCTGAAGTCTCATAATGTTGTAAACATTTCCTTTCCTTCTCCAGGGCTGGTGTGGATGGAAAGGCCCAGACTTTTGGAACAAGGATGCTTACTATAATTTATGTCTACCTCAGCGGCCAAAGATTATATAATCTCGGATTCAGAAACTGAAGTAAACTGCTATAATAAATCTGTTAATAAAAATGCTTAATATCAAATTAAATCCTGGGCATAGTTTGATCGTGCAAATTATTTTTCCCCCAAAGGTAGTAAATAACTGCATGGACACTTTTATCCTTTACACATTTTAATAACTTGAAAGTCAGAGTATGTACAACCAGAATATTACAGGCATGTAAATACATGTATTTCTTAAATGTTCTCTTCACTTGGAAGCAAATTTTCTTCCTTCTCAGAAGGAGTTAGATGTATATGATAAGCCAAAGGCCATTGCTTGCATGCAATGAATCACTTCTTCTAACTTCTTCAAAATCCACAGAATATCTGTTTTGAAAACATGTTAACTTAAAGACTTAAAATAAGTTTTTCTCCCTATACTTCTATAGGTCTTAGAATCTAGCAGTAGGAACTGCAAATAATATTAAAATGTTAATGAAAACTAAAGGGTAAATCCCAATGATAGACGCAGAGTAAGAGTATCATGGTCTGAGGCTAGTCCCAAGTACAGAAGGAAATGGAAAAGGGTAAAGGATAGGGAGCAGAGAAAGGAAGGGAAGGGAAAACAGAAGAGAAGAGAGAGAAAAAGAAGCAAAGAAAGAAATACAAGACCCTAAACTAGGAGTGTGTCAAATGGTAGAGCAATTGCCTAGCAAGTATGAAGTCTCAAGTTCACACTCCAGTACCAGCACTGCCAAAATAAATAGATACAAATAATGCTAGAAATAAGAATGCTGGTATTTAAATGAAACACTAAATCTATGCTAGAAGAGATATTCTTAAGGGGGAAAGAAGCAGCTTATGTTACTTACCAACACTTCCGTTTCACATTGGTATTTTCTACACTTCCAATACATCGTTTCTGTTTAAGTGATGGGACACAGTCATCTCTATTGGATTGTTCACTTGATTTTACTGTCTGCATACATTTAATCATTGTGAGAAACTTGGCACATTCTGGAAATCCACATGACCAAGCAAGATCTTCTGCTGTTTGCCCATTCTTATTACATAAACTGAAATTAGACAAAAGGTGAGTTCAATAAAAGTTGACAATTGTCCAGCCTTTTTAAAAAACTAACAATTCCGGCTCATCTCAGTTTGGATGCAGGTTAGTGGAGGACCCTTATTTAATTCCCAGCACATAAACAAACAATAACAGGCCAGGAGGAAGAAGAAAGAAAAGGGGAAATAGGAAGGAGGACAAGGAACAAGAAGGGCATAAAGAGGTAAAGGGAAATTTTGTTTTTGCACACACTATTATCACTAGTGGCTAACAGATTCAACATAAGCATTCCGTAGATTTTTATGATCATTTTTTACTGTTTGATGAATACCGAGTATTTAATGTTCCCTGTCAATGAGTCACCAAACATCATTGATGAAAACGGTAGAATAGGTTCTCCTAAGGCAAAACTGAAATAGAATACTGCCATGCTGAAGAACTGCAGCTCTGATTGCTCAGGATCCATTTTTTTCACTTGCTCAAATTGATATTAATAAATCACTTAAGAGCTTAGATAAACATTTCAATACTAACACCAAGTTTCCAATTAGACAAGTAAAAAGTTTGATTAATCCAACAAAACAAAATCTGAAAGCACTGATTTGCTACTCACTCAATTTGGGCATCACTGGCAATAAGCAGGCTAAGACACTGCAGGCTTCCCGCTTTTGCTGCCTTGTGAAGAGGTGCTTCTCCCCAAACATCCTTTAAAATAAGAGCATATTTCTGAGTCTCTCACTTACCATGACCTTGTGGAAGCTGGTAAGGAGGAAGTCTAATAGCTATTTGAGGAAAACAGTTCAAACCATTGTATAGACTAAAATTTTCAATCTTTCATTGAAAAGATGGAAACTCTTTCCATCCATTAAAACATGTGCAGCTACATCCTTATATATCAATATTTAAGTGAAGGCAAGCACCAATAGTTATAAGTTAAAATTTCACTAGACTTCAAATATTCAGTGAAATACGCACATCACCCCAAGGAAATTCAGTAGTAAACTATGATGATTGTGGGCATGGCTGGCAGTTACTTCAGCCGTTGTGCTGAGAGTGGTAATGTAACGATTACTTTTTTTGAAATAAACCAGTCAACTAGGGTAGCCTATTCCTGAAATCCCAACAATCAGGAGTTCAAGGCCAGCTTGTACTACCAAGAAGACCTTGTCAAAATTTAAGAGGGGGAGGGGACCACCAAAAAACTGTTGACCTAGTGCAGTAACCACTTACAGCGAAGAAGCATTTGAAAGGTGGTTGAGATATGCTATGAGGGTAAAATACAGGGGGCAGGGAAGGTGGCTTGGTGGAAGGAGCTTGCCTAGCATGCAGGAAGCAAGCCCTGGGTGGATTCCTCAGCACCACACACACCAAGGAAAAAAAACCAAAAATCAAAAAAAAAGGAAGTGGCGCTGTGGTGGCCTCGAATCAGAAAAGAGGCTCAGGGACGGAGCCCGGGCCCCGAATCCAAGCCCAGGACTGTTGTTTTTAAAAGTAAAGTAGGTCCTGAATTGTGAGATGCAGTATGAAAGTGTAAAATACGTGTCAAAACTATACTGATCGGGCATTAGATAAGGTCATGTCACGTTTTGTCTGACGGATGTGGACACTCAACCTGCTTAGGTTACTTCTGTGGCTTGCGCGACATGCAGCCTGGACACCTCTGCTAGGGACGCGTGTCCCGCAGCCAGGGAGTAGATTCCAGCCTGGACATCTCCGCTAGGGACGCGTGTCCCGCAGCCAGGGAGTAGATTCCCGCAGCTCGCAAGCGTCCGTGTGTACGCGGAGGGCGGTGCGCACGGCAACAATCAGTTACCTAGTTACCTGTTGGTTGAGGTCAGCGCCCGCTTGCAGCTGCCGGAGGAGGAAGCCAGCGAGCCCGCCGCCCGCGGCCAAGTGGACGGGCGACTGCTCGTAGGGATCCGGGGGCGCGTTGACCGAAGCCCCCGACTCCAGCAAAGGCCTGAGACCCTCCACCTGCGGAGAAGAGAACAGACTCAGCGCCCCTCTCCATCGCCCGCGCCGGCGAGAGCCTTCCTCCTAACACGGCTGAGCTTGCAGCTGTCTCCCCCTCCGTCCACGGGCTGCGGCCTGCGAGACCCGGAGGGACGGTGCTCACCTCAGGGGTGCGATCTAGCAACAGCATCTCCCGCCGGACGCGAACGCCCCGACTCTGAGTGTGCTGCTGGCCAGGCTCGGCGCAGACCCGCAGGTAAGCGTCGCACCCGCCGGCCTGGAGGCCCGATTATTTAAAGGTCGCTCGGGCCGCGCCCCGGCAGCTTAATGAATCCCCAACCGCCAACCGCCCGAACATTCCCAGCCCCGCGGCCCCCGCACGTACACAAACACTCCCACGTGCGGAAGCGAATACAACGCCCCACCCCCCCCCCACCCCCCCGCCCAGCCGCCGCGAGCGCGCGCGCACTCACACACACACACACACACACACCCGAGTGACTGGCAGGGCGGGAGGAGGGGCTGGCAGGGCGAATCCGCCAGCCGATTCGTTGAGCCGTGCTAGGAGACGTCGGGAACGCCTACTGGGGGGGGTGGTCCCTGGGGTCGGTCTGGGAGCTCCGACACGAGCATGCGCTTCGGAGTAGGCGGGCGACGTGGACTCAGAGCCCGAGTGGTTGATCTTCAGCATCCGCCATGAGACGCGCTCGGTTAGACACGTACCGTGCTCCATTGCCAAGCCCTTTAATCCTCTAGAGAAGCCGGCCTCCGGGCCAAAGGTTTTGAGTTCTGCGAGCACGCACGTATCCCGGAAAAGAGGAAACCACAAGCAGTTCCCAGGCTGGCCAGACCAGTCACCGCCTCTGGAAGCAGCCACCAGCTGGAGAGGAGTGACACCTCTGCCTCAAGTTCAGAGTCGTCCCAGACGCCTGTTACCCCCAAGCCCGGGCCCGAGATCGTGCACCTGAGCATTCAGGGGATCAGTACTAGAAGAACCAGCCTCCCCCAATGGGCTGGATTACCCTGCCAGGCCTGGGGTCTAAAGGGTGATCCCCCCCCACCCCATTGTCGTGTGCGAACCCTGAGCGCTGGGCCCAAGATGGGCCTTGCCCGGTTTGGGAACAGTTCTTTGGACAATGAACCGACAGGAAGTAGGAGCTGACTGTAACCCCATCCTCTTAGGGAAAGCAAGGCAGGAATATGGCTGTGTCGCCTGAGCCTCATTCGTTCTCTTCTATAAACTTGAGAATCAGACTGGCTTCGAATAGTAGCCCCTGGCATCATAGTCAGTCCATGACTCTCCCTGAGTACTCTTTCAGATTAACCTAGCTAAAAATCAAAGCTTCAGCCATCTCTTTTCCTCTAATATCCTAGTAACTTCCTTCTATCTAGGTCTGGAAAAACTATATAATCATACATTGGGAAAACAAGCACAGATGTCTTTTCAATGTCAGCGGTCTTTTAGCTCCAGTTTTGGATGCAGAACATTTTCAGTCATAAATTTTTCTTACACATATGCATTAACCCAAGGGAGTAAGGTTTAAACATTTGTTTTCATGTGTATATGAGTGTATATTTGAAATAGTACTTATGTTCTGGGTTTTTAATATTTAACCTCGCAATACCTTTTGAGGTGAAGGATGGTACTGCAGAAGAGCTGTCAGACGTAGCAGACCACATGGTTCCAGTCTCCTGATTTATTTAGTTAGGTGAACATCTTTTCTAAAGGCACATGAAATTATGCTTCAGGTTTGCACAGATGTCCATTTTTAGAATTTCCTGATCAAAGATGTGAGAGTTTCTTAGAGTTTTAAAAAACATATGTGATTAGCTCACATAATGGGATGTGAGGTGTGGAAAAATGGCTCTAAGTTACATCCTTTTCCTATAAAACAGGTGCGTTTAGTCTGGTTGTTTCCCAGGAAAAGAGACATCCTCAGAAGTTATTACAGCTTTATTTCCTTTGATCGCTCAATAACTTTCCATTGCTCACTTTGATTCAGAAAAAAAAAATGTTTTCTATCTCAACTGGATATGCTCTAAATGCTTAGGAATGCTCTAAATAAACCTTTAGCTTATTTAGAACTGTATGAAGCAATCTGGCACAGAAACACAGAGAGCAAGTGCATTATGAGACATTGAACACTAGAATTTTTACTGAATATGTAGCAGGTAGGGTGGATTTTCAATGAGGAAGGTGGTCTAAGACACATAATTCAATAGACACTCTCCTGAGCATTGCTAACTCTTACATATTTTATTTGCTAGTAGAGGTGTTTAGAAGAATGCCATTTAGAATGAGTGGTTTCTTTTGTTTTTATTTTTGTTTTTTTGCTATTAACATGTATTAAATTTCCCAATTACAGTTACTTTACACATTTATATGGGAATAATCCTTAACACACACACAAAAACAAGCATATTACCACAGGTATATAAAAAAGTATGATGAACTACCTAATTCAAACCCATAATCTCCACAATTTTGTAATGAGGCTAAATTCTGAACACAGAAAAGGTTATGTGTCATAAAACAAAGAAATCCAGGGCTGGGAAGGTGGCTCAGTGGTAGAGTCCTTGCCTCGCATGCATGAGGCCCTGGGTTCAATTCTTCAGCACCACATAATCAGAAAAAGCCAGAAGTGGCACTATGGCTCAAGTGGTAGAGCGCTAGCCGTGAACTGGAGGGACAGCATCCAGGCCCAGAGTTCAGGCCCTATCACCGACCAAAAAACAAAAATGAAAAAATCCATAGGATATGGAAACAAACGAAAGAGACAAGTGAGAAAGTTCTACCAATCACAGGGAGAGAGGCAGCTAGCTTCCTTCTGAAACCAGCTGACCAAGAACCTGAGCTCCAAAGGAAACAATACTAAAGCAAGAAAATGCCTCCATCTGGGACAAAATAGAATTAGTATTAAAAAAAAAAAAATGAGATGACCATCGAAGGAGAGATGTGTGGGGTGAGTTGGCTAATTGATTCAAAGAGGGCAGGGTATTTCTAAGAAGTGTAAAGTATCTTCTGCTGTAGGGAGAAGTATGTGCAGCTCAGTCTGGTGACAGTACATGAGACATACACCATGAAATAAAGCGAAAAGCTTCCAAGTGACGAATTCTTCAATGCCACTAATGTATATTCCAGGTTATTATATGGAGATTAAATCAGTATTGCTATGTAGTAAAATTAACACTAGTGATTATAATTATCTTGTCTATTTTACAGAAAAAAATAACTCAGAGAGGATCTCTAAAACTTGTCTAGTGTCATGTAATTACTGAGAAGTAACACTGATATTTTAGCTCAAGCTGTTTGACCTTTGAGCCCACATTCTTTTTGTTCCTAAGCATTTAAAAAATATTTTGGTCCTCTCTTATGAATATAAAATGAGGACTTGTCCAGGAAAAGATTGGTGGGAGAAAGGAATGGATACTAAAGAGTAAACAGAATTGAATACACACACACACACACACACACACACACACACACACACACACACAGGATTGCAGTATAATGAAGCCCACTAAATACTGTTTGAAAAAATGGGGAGGAGGGATTGGAGGTATAAGAATATAGTAAATTTGTTCAAAAGTACACTGCGTCAGTGCATGAAAATATCACAATGAAACCCCCTCATATTACAAATGTATGCTGACTCAAAAAATAACGACAAAGAATTTTGGTAAGTTCAAATTACTAAGGTTATTTTCATGAAAGCAGCAGTCTTTAATAAATTAGTATAATCTGCAGAAAAATAATTTTTGCATTCAATAAAATAGTGATTAATATTACTTTGTTCCTAGAATTGAATCTTCCACAGTGCTTAGCCTACTGCCTGTATTGAAAGAATGCCTTTGAATATATGAATATGTAATAGAAACTAAAAAATATGAAAGTGGAATCAATAGGCTAATTTTTTTTGTACAGTAAGAAAGCCACATTAATTCAGCATCCCTACTTCAATTCCATTTCTTTCCAGAATGTTTCTTTTTTGCCAAAAAGATACTGAAACATGTTTCTTAAATGCACAATACTGAAAAGAGGAGAAATTGGATATCTACTAATAATCCCCTTTTCACTACCATATAGCATCTAATTAAGTTGTATACATAAAGTCCTTAAAAATTAGCTCTAAATTAAGGGAAAGAACATAAAGTAATCCTAAAAATCTTAATAGTTGGCTTAATTTCAATATGTGAAACAATCTCAGCTCTTCTAAGAAAAATGAATAAGAGCAAAATACATTCAAGTAATATTCATCAAATATTTCTAAATGTGATAATTGTATTACTACCCAGGTGCCCAAGATAGGTCAAGACTGACCAGAGTTCTACTGTGAAAACTAGTTTTTTATTTATTTTTAATTTTTTAAGTTTAATTAATTTTGTTGGTCATAGGGCCTGAACTTGGCTTGGGTACTGTCCCTAGTTTTTTTTTTTTTATTAACAATATTGTGATGATAATTCTATAGCTAAAGATGATCTATCCCTAAAGAAAACTTTACAAAGATAGAATAGATGATTATAGACAAATCTGGAATTTCAACAAATAGCCTTTGGTTTTAACCATTCACAAATTTAAACTTTCACAAATTCAAATAACTTGAACTAATTGATTCAGTTATGACCATCATTAGAAAAATCATACTCTAATATTGATTATACATAGGAATTTTCCACCAAAAAATTCTTCATTCCTGATAAATAAATTCTTCCAGCATTGGTTACTCAGACTTCTTGAGAAAGTTGACAAGCTACATAGTTCTACCCAATTGCATCAGGGTATTGTGAGGAAGGTATGTACATTCATCCTCACTTGATGGTGATTAATGTCTTGCAAATGTGTTCATGAAGGCTCTAGTATCTTCACTGGTGACATGTATTCAGATGTTCACTTCGGGGCAGGAAGAGTAGCTCAAGTGATATAGCACTTGTAAGCTTGAGTTCAACTCAGGTACTCAATTTAACCTACAGTATTGCTGAATAAAATGAAATATAAAATAATAAGAAATGGAAAGCACCTTGAAGAGTGTTTTATTGTTTCATTATTTCTCCAGGCCATATTGTTCTTTCAGTGAAGTGTAGAAATTACAGGAGATATATAAAAAATATTGAGTGAAATGGAAAAAAATTGGAAAGTTGGCCCTTAAGATTAAACTTTATGGAAGTGGTGCTGTGGCTCAAGTGGTAGGACTCTCGCCTTGAACTGAAGAGCTGAAGGACAGCGCCCAGGCCCAGAGTTCAAGCCCCATGACTGACCAAAAAAGATTAAACTTTATAGATAAGAGGTTTCATATCATTGGGAAGTTTTAGTGAAGTGTGGAGAGAGCTAAAATGAGCCATATGATACTGGTTTGTCA